TTCTTCCTTCCTTCTACCTGTTTCCCATCCACCACTCGTCAGTGACCAAACCTGTTCTTTTCTGGTTTACCCCTCCTGTTACCCATTCCTTTTTAATATCTTGAACCAAGCCCAGTTCACGGCAGAATGTCAGCAAATGTTTGTCACTAAACTGTTTTCTGTAGTGAACCCCAACTCCTGAGGTCCATTCTGTGTCTGCAGTCTCTCCTTTACATAATGAAACTGGCTACTTCATCTTATGACACTCAACAAAAGGCTTTAAAATCACCACTTTCCTTAAGTGGGTTGGCTCTGAGATGGAATCAAGCAGCCACACAGGAAAGTATTAGCTAGTAATAATGAAGACGATTACTCTTCCTGGGCATGAGCCACCAGTAACTCAAACTCAGGTTGATGGAAATTCTTTGGCAGCATTTTCACATTTGGGGGATTTTGTTTTAAACACAGTATCTTAAAGCAACTTGGCAGCATAAGAAATTATGTTTAAGTCCGTGGAAAACTACGAGATTAAAGAGAATAAGAGTTGCATAAACAGTTGCAAGAAAAATAATTACTAGGAAAAGTTGCAGGGTTTTTTTTCTTCCTGTCACAAATAACATCTTTAATCTTCCAGTTATCCCTTTTCTCTGAATCAGTACTTGATTTTCCAATTAATGGGGAAGGAAGCCACCAGAGATGAGTCAGTAAATTTAAAAACAGTCATAAACGTCTAGCAAGGAAAGGAAAGAGTTTTACAAATGTACATCTATGGCTAAGGAAGAAACTGGCATTTGGTGTTAGGCACTCACTTTTACATCTGAACAACATCGGGATCAACATAAAAAAATATAAAACTTTCGGATCGGGTAATGTGGATAGGAAAGTCACATGCTGTAAGATATTTCCAAGAGGATAATTAAGTGTTTTATATATTCTGCGAGTAAGCGGGCTTTTCCACATCTAAAGTAAAACCAGCCCAGTTCCCTGAGACCTTGTTGTAAAGTGATAATTAGACCATCTACCCACGGTGAGGCTGCAGATGGGTAGGATTATGGGTTGGATTATAGACAAGGTTATGGGCAATCCCAGAATCAACAAGTTTCACTTACAGAGAGATCAGGATTACAGTCTATGTGGATCTAGAGACTTCTGTAACATATCAGGGGCATGGGCTTCCAAATCAAGACAGACCCAAGGCTGAATCCTGGCCAGGCCAATGACTACCTATCATTGGGCTGAAAACCTCTGTTAACCTTGCTTTCTTCATCTCTATAATGGGCACAGTAACACCAACTTACAGGTGTGGTGAGCATTAAACTCAGTGTGAAGCACTTAGCATGTGCCCAGCACAAAACAAGAGCTCAGTGGGTAAGTAAAGCCTCGTGGAAGAGAGTAAGGAATACAGAAACTGCCACCAGGGCTGGAATGTTGGTGCTGTCACTTATCCACCTTATGCCCTTGGTAAAGTCACTCCACCCTCAGAGCTATTGAAGAGGGAGTAGTAATTCAGAATGGGAGTAACAGCCAATAATAACCAGCTCTGAGATGGGGATGATGACAAACTGAGTAGCCGCACAGATCAAATGGATTATTATGAACAGAGCAGGTAGAACAGGGCCAAGCTCATTGCAGTCTGTAAGAATGAGTGATGATTATTATTAACTATGATTATTCAATCAGCCCACCAGAGAAATAAGGAGGGGGAGTGCATGGTGGTAAAAGTAAACTATTACACAGAGTACAAGGCCTGGTGCAGGGTGTTAGAAAGAGCTGTTTTGGAAACTTACATCAAGAGCTGAAGAGTGTACACAGGCTTACCCCGTTCTGTAAATGCTGTGTCAAGTTGTTTAACCCATAGCAGTAAACAGCCAAGCCAAAGTCAAGAGGACAAGTGCTAACACACTCATCCAGGATGTCTCATAGCAACTTGGCCTTGGGGAACAACAACAAAAGCTTTGCTCCTATACTCTGCAAACCATACCCTGCAGTCAGCCTGCTTCAAAACATCTGGTTCTCCAGAGATATAGAACAAATCTTTACGGTAAATAAGACACTACCATCTATAGTGCTGGGGTGCTCGATCTTTCCTCCTCAACTGTTTGTTTTCTGGCATATTTATTTAAATTGCTCATCTTCTATAAATTCTTCTATAAATTTCAACTCATGAAAAAAATCAATAGAAAGAACACTCGTGGGCTGTTCTGTCCTTACTTGTAAACATGCTAATAAATTGCCATCTCTCATTGTATTGACACTGTGTTAGGTGGAGAAATGGCTATTGGTACCTTACTCCACTTAAACTCACCAAGAAAAGCATGTCTTTCATGAACTTTCCAGGACTTTTTTTTTTTAGTCAAGGCTTTCTCTCTTGTTCTCTTTCTTCCATAGGACAACAGGTAGTTATGAAGAAGGGCAGTGACATCCCAGGTTTTTCTAGAGAGAAATGACTATAGGCCTACACACTCTTAGCCTCAATTCCCAACTCCAGAATGCTAGGAAAATGGAAGGTCTCCTTATAACTTCTATGGAAGCAAAACTTAACGTGAAGTGACACAAGCCCCTAAATTTAAAAAGTGTATCTAATTCAGTTTGAACATCACATACAGATTTCAGTATGCTGCTTGAGATCACACTGGGGGTGCCATGTGGTATATGCAAGGTTTTATTCTCCTCAAGGCAGTATTATCCTCCTAAATCCCGAAATTTCTCAATTCCAAAATAAGTCAGACCCCAAGTCCTTTAGATATACAATTGCCAACTTATAGGAGAGTTACTGATGCTGTAATGTTCCAAACACAGTTTTGGGAATAGAGTTCTGTGAATACAGTCAGTGAGAAAAGTAATTCTAGCATTTTTGTTTGTTTTTGAGTCGGAGTCTTCGCTCTGGCTCCCATACTGGAGTGCAATGGTGTAATCTTGGCTCACTGCAACCTCCTCCACCTCCCGAGTTCAGGAGATTCTTCTGCCTCAGCCTCCCGAATAGCTGGGAGGCATGTGCCACTACACCTGGCTGATTTTGTATTTTTAGTATAGACAGGGTCTCCCCATGTTCTCACACTCCTGACCTCAAGTGATAGACCCGCCTTAGGCTCCCAAACTGCTGGGATTACAGGCGTGAGCCACAATGCCAGGCCAATTCTAGCATGTTCTTTAAACTGCCTTCCTTAGAAACCAGAACTGGGACTGAATCTTTACACTGCCAATCTCAGGATTTAAAATGGACAATAATCACTAATAATCACTCAGATGCTTCGCCCTTCCTTCCCTCAAGTGGCTGCTCCGTAACTTACAGTGTATGAGGTTTTATAGACAATACCCAGTGGGGAAGGCCACTTACCAGCAGACAGGCGAGGTTACTAAGAACATGCCCCACCCCCGCATGTGGGCGCCTGCTCTTGGCAACGACTTTTTTTGGAAGTGCAGCCTACTGAGCACTCCATGAGAACTGGGTTTAAATTTCTGCTCCATTACCTAGCAAGGTGTATATATTATGGGCAGGCTGATATCCTCTGCGGGGTTCTGTTTCCTGTGTGCAAACTGGGGAGATTATCACCTATTATTGAGGACTGCTGGAATGAAATGAAGTAAAATCATGTACTGAATCCACAGGAATCAAGGTTAGCTTCTTTCCACAGCCTCTTTCCCTTTTCACACCCTTTCCTCCTCTGGCCAAGACATCGTCTAGAGACAGGCTGTAAGTTGAGAGCTTAGTGCTTTCTTCTGCATGGATGAGCTCCTGCATGTGTGCTCATGGTACCTGTTTGTGTACTGCAAAGTCGAGGGAAATGGATTCCTATCAAGCTCCTTGAAGCCAACTGGAAATCTGAACCTCCAAGGAAAACAGGTGTTGAGTAGGGCAAGGGGTCTGCAAGGAGACCCCTGTGCAGGCCCCAGGAGAACTGGGAGCAGAGGTATCATTTAAGGACACCCAGTCACTCATAAGGGTGTAGCCTTATAATTCTAGATCTGGCTGACAATCTAAGGTAGGAAATGCTTTAACCTTTCTAAAATCAGAAGTTCTCACCCCAGCTACAAAGACAGCCAGGCCCACCCCTGAGGTTTAATTAGTGTGGCAATTCTCACGGGTCTCCCTGTGATTTCAATATGGAAGCCTAAGTTGCGAACTACTGCCCAAAAACTGTTGGTATTTGCTTCTCTAGAATGACAACAGAAACCTGGAGTACAAAGACTCACAGGTGCAAAAATCTGCCCACTTCGTCCACTCTGATGGTCCAGCCTCAGGGAGAGGGTAGCTGGCAGCTGTGTCTACTATCAGAAAACCAAGGGGCCAGGAAAAAAAATTACAGCTGGGCGCAGTGGCTCATGCCTGTAATCCCAGCACTTTGGGAAGCCAAGCCGGGTGGACCACCTGAAGTGAGGAGTTCAAGACCAGCCTGGCCAACACAGTGAAACCCCTTCTCTACTAAAAATACAAAAATTAGCCAGGTGTGGTGGCATGTGCCTGTAGTCCCAGCTACTCGGGAGGCTGAGGAGGGAGAATCACTTGAACACAGGAGGCGGAGGTTGCAGTGAGCAGAGATTGTACCACTGCACTCCAGCCTGGGCAACAGAGTGAGATTCCGTCTCAAAAAAAAAAAAAAAAAAAAAAAAAAAAAAAGAAAAAAAAGAAAGAAAAAAAGAAAACCAAGGGGCCGCAGGAGACTACTTCTGCGCCACACAATGCCCTGGCTTCCAGGAAGGAGTTACGCTGGCTAAACGAGGCACCCGGGCAGGTGGAGGTATCTCTAACTGTGCAGACAGACAGGGCACCGGCCCTGGGTGTGGGGTGGGGAGCAGGGTGGGCTCGCTGGAACTGGTCAAGGAAGAGGACCTCTAGGGGCTCTAATTCTCCCCTGTCTGAGAACAGCGCCCCCTTCTCCGATTGGTAAGGGAAAAATACACAGAACGGGGCCCCACGTATCCCAAGAGTTATCAGAATCATATTATAGAGAACAAACGTTAATGTTTAACCGAACGGGGTTTTTGGGAAACATGCTCAAGGGTCGCCAGCATCGTCCCACCTGGGGCTTTCCCATTCCTGGTCGTCCTTGTCTTTCTCTTCTTTGGTGTCTCCAGTATGTGGGTGCTTCTGCACAATTCTCATTCCACCAGCTTTCACTGAAATGAAACAGAGAGAGTGGGATTAATGTGGAAATGGGGTTGCCTGTGGATCGGGGAGAGCTGGAAAGGTTCTGGTTGCCCAACGGCCACAAGTTAGTCTGGAGAATCTGGCAGTGACAATGATTAACTCAAGAAGGTCACGGTCGTCAGGGCAAATTCAACATGATTCAGCACTCAATGCAATCTCTTACTACAGAGCCGCTCAGAAACTTTCCAAGGCTCTTGTTTTTTCTATTTGTTCACCTTTCAGGTATTTTGTAAAAGCAGTAGTATAACCAGGGCACACACTACATAGCCAAGAGAGTGGCTGCTGCTTTCAGTTCTCCACGCTGTCTCGACACAAGGGCTCACTCCAACCTCTTCTGTGAAATTCACTTTCTCAAATATTGAAGACGCTTTTGATGGGGTGATATGGTGATGGGTGGCATGGGACAGCTCCTATGTCTTCAAAGAGCCCAGGCAAGTGGCAACAAAGACTTCTGCAGCTTTGCCCAAACTATGCTGTGAAACCTTACCACTGGCAAATGTTAACTTAGTTTTAAAAAACAGCTTTATTGATATGTAATTCATGTAGAATATAATTCACTCACTTAAACTGTATAATTTGATGGTTTTGAAGGCATTCAGAATTGTACAACTATTGCCATGATCAATTTTAGGGTATTTTTTATCACCCCAAACAGAAAGCCCACACCCATGAACTGTCACCCTCCATACCACCTCTCCCAGCTGCTTGAAGCCAGTCACATGGACTTGCTTATTCTGGACATTTGATGTAAGCGGAATTATAAAATACGTGGCTTTTGGTGACTGGCTCCTTGTCCTTAGCGTGTTTTCAAGGTTCCTCCATGTTTTAGCACATGTAAGTATCCCATTCCTCTTATCGCCAAATAATACTCTATTGCATGGATAATTCACATCCTATCTTTCCATTCATCAGTTAGACATATGCATTGTTTCCACTTTTTTGGCTATTAGGAACAATGCAGCTGTGGAGAACTTATACATAAGTTTTTGTATGGACGCAGGTTTTCATTTCCTCGAGTACATACCGAGAATTGGAACTGCTAGGCCACATGGTAACTCTGAATTTGTCCTTCTGAAGAACCACCAAACTATCTTCCAAACCCTCTGCACTATTTCACATTCCCACAGCATGTGCGTTCCCATTCTCCACACGTTCCGGACACTTGCTATTGTGTGTCTTTTTAATTATAGCCATCCCAGTGGGTGTGAAGTAGTTTCTTACTGAGGTTTGATTTGCAGTTCCCTCATGGCTAATATGTTAAAACTGTATTGTAAGGGGTCAGGTGATTTAGAATCTAACAAGATGCTGAGAAATACCAGGTTGAACAAAATTAAAAAGGTTTCCCTAAGACAGACCTTCTTGGCCCTAGCGTGCCACCCTGCATGGGAAAGACTTCCGAGAGGCATAGTGCATGCCAGCTCTCCCCAGCCTATCTGACCATAGAACTTTTCTTTGGCGGGGGGAAGGGGCTATAATACCCGTTATCCTCCATCAGGACTATAGTGCTCCATGAAATAGAGTTTAGAAATGCTGGCTGGTCCTAAATCCAAAAAGCCAGCCTCGCGTGGTAGTCACTAGCATGTGTTTTGGGATCAGCATGTTCCTCCATGCCCTCAGCTATGTGGTCTCCAACTAGTTACTCATATTCTCAAAGATTCCCTGCTTCCTCTGCAGAAAGGGGATAGATCTCCGCAGACTGAGCTGTTAAGAGGAGCGAGGTGTTCCGGGGAGCGTGGTGCTGGCTAGAAAGCAGAGCTGTTTTCTTTGCGGTCATTGGTCCTTCAGGCTCCGGGTGCAGGCTTTATCCAGCTTCCCCTTTAGAGTCTCTGCCACAAGCCGGCTAACATCATGACACAGTCAACTTGCCACGCCATGTCCTCTGGCATTGTAAATTTCGGTGGATCCTGCTGAGTCACAAAAGTCCAGGCCAAGTTTCTTTATGAGGCTGATGAATGGTAAGGAGAACGGGAGAGGCAGCCTGGGGCTGACATGCTTCAGGTTTACTGGTCTTCAACTTCCCTGGGAGACCTTGCCAGCAGCAGTCCCTGACTGGAGGAGATAGTGACGTTTGCTCCCAGGACCAGCAATGCCTCTGCAGCTGGCCGTTAGAAAAGGACAAAAGAGAGCAAGGAAAATGAAGGACTGTGTTTAAACGTTCTTCTGCTGACCTGGGTTTGCAACTAAAATCTTCCTGCTGCCCACACCGCTTTTCAACGGAGGGACATTCTACTTGGGGAAGAGAGAAATGGAATCCTGTTCAGTAATCCTCTCAAAAATCTGCTCTATAGCCCATTAATTGATTTCTAATCATTTTATTTTTCATTTGTAAAGCATTCATTTTTTTGTCTCAAATTCACCAGGTCTGTATTTGATGGGGTCTTACTGTTTTCTTGTGCTTTCAATTCCTTTATATATTTAATCATTTTAGGTGTACTTGCCTTATAGTTGTATATCCAATTATTTGATTTTCTGAAGTCCTCTGGAGTCCAATCCTGCTGTCTGTTTTTGTCTGTGGATTCTTGCTCTTGTCCTGGGAGATTGTGGACGAGGACTCTGTCTTCACTGGGCTTGACCAGTAATGATCTTATGGGGCCTGTGATGCAGACAGCAACCCTCGGGGGAGATGTTGCACATGTTTTTGTCAGGCCTGGAGAATAGGTGCCTGAAAATCCTTTTCAAGGCAGAGTTCTCAGAAGACAAATTGCCAGACAGTGCAAATATGAACTGAACTCTTATAAATGCAGGCCTTCGTTTACAAATTCTCAAGGAGACTTCTGTCCCCATGTGAAGCCCCGGCTGATACAGCCCCACTTCCTGGCGGTCCCAGGGCCACTGGGAAGGTTTCCCTCTTCCACCCTTTCCCCAGGAGTGTGGACTATGAACATCCAGCCTTCGCCTCTCCCCACCTCCTCTGGGCCCACCTCTTATGCTAAAGGTCTGAATTTCAGTTCCTTCTATGTTTTGGGTTTCCAGGAATTCCTTTCACTTCAAGGTCAGATTTTTTTTTTTTTTTTTTTAAAGCAAAAGGCAAAAGACAAAACAGAAAAGTCCTACTATTTGCAGGCAGTTTTTAAATCTAAGATTTCTCAGCCTACGTAGTTGGCCTCCCAGTCAGAAATGGAGACCGAAAATACAATTATATAAACCTTAGGGTCATTTTCCACTCTCTTGAAACACAAGATCTGAGAGTTATGAATGTTTTTGGCCCAAGGAAGAGCTAGAACTGTCCCACTAAATATTTTTTAAAAATTAACTTCCCTCCCCCTCCATCCCACCTCTTTTCCATGCTCATCAGAAACTGATAAAAGATGCTATTATGGACTGAATAGTGTCCCCCCAAAATTCACAGGTTGAAGTCCTAACCCACATACCCTTAAATTGTAACTGTATTCGGAGAGATGGTCTTCAAATGATAATTAAATTAAAATGAGGAAACTGGGGTAGGGCCCTAATATAAGAGAAATCGTGTCTTTCTAAGAGGAGACAGCAGGGATGTGCACACAAAGACATGGCCTGCAAGGAAACAGCAAGAAAGCACCGTCTGCAAGCCCAGGACAGAGGCCCCAGGAGAAAGCCGAGCTGCAGCACCTTGATCTTGGACTTCAGCCTCCCAAACTGGAAGAAATAAATGTCTGTGGTTTAAGACACCCTATCTGTGCTATTTTGTTAAGGCAGGCCAAACAAATAATACAGATGCCCATTTAAGAGTGATCTCTCAATCTTTTCAATTTGGCACACATAAAACTTTTAAACTATAGCTCACAGATGTGTTAATAAAGTAAAAGTAAAAATAGCTGTGCAGCTAACTACAAAGAAAACGGATGATGAATGTCAAGGTGACATCTGAAGTGATCAAGTCTTCTGAAGCTCCTGCAGAGAAGCCTGTCCACTCCTCTGCTGAATGTCAGAGCTCGGTCACCCAGCATTAGCATGCACATTTAATTTAGTTTCTAAAACAATTAGCTTCATTGATCCCTCTCAGTATGTCTGGTGATTAATGTAGCAATAAAAAGTGGCAATAATAATAATAATAACTCAAGTCTGAGGCAGATTCATTTTAACTTGCAATACTGACAAAAAATATGACAGCACCTATTTGTTGTGATTGTTGTATCACTGTCTCTAGAACTCTTCATCTGTAAAACTACAAAGGCAGAATTACTTTTGCAGAAATCTTTGCAGAATTACTTGCAAATCAGTATTTTTAGGAGAAACAAAGAAATCTTCGATTTTTGTTGTGGCGGTTGTTATTCAAATGAGAGCTTCAAATTTAAAGAATGTTTAGCTTCCTCTTAACACAAGGGCTGTGCAGAGGCTAAGAACACAGATGCTGGAGCCAGAACCCTGGGTTCAAATCCCAGCTCTGCCTCTGTGTGCGTGTGTCTGTGCATAAGTGTGTGCACATGTGTGCATGTCTATGTGCTTGTGTGTGGGGGGGGGGTGGCTGTGTCTGGGCAAGCTGCTGAAGCTCTCTGTGCCTCAGGGTCTTCCATCTGTGAAGAGTGACGACGTTCCCCTCTCTCAGGGCAGCTGAGGATTAATGAGCACGCCTCCAACGGGGCCTGGCACATGGAATGTGCTCAATTGTTAGCTAGTCTTATTAAATGCGTTTTAAATTTAGCATTTAGTACTTAGAGAGGCCTCTAGAGTCCAAAATGTTGGTGCTTTTCCAGGTCTTCACTGTAGTTCCTTCAAGACCACTGCCCTATGGGTTGCTGGGGAATGAGAAAAAGACTGTAAAGCACCTGCCCACCATGGTGCTGACCACCGCCAGGACCTTCATCACGACATCACCACCTAAGTAAGGAAGCTTCTAGAGAATCACAGATCCAACTTCTGCTCTTCAGCACTCTGTGCTGGGCACTGCTCTAACCACGCGGGGTCTACTGACTGTAGACTCCATGGAGGAGATCTTGAGGCAGGGAGAAGGGGAAGCCAGCGGCCCCAAATCGCACTGCTGGTGAGCGGC